CTACATTTTATTGCATATTTTTATAGCTTATCTCGAGAGCTTTCCAAAACACTATAATAAAACATTTTTTCATTAAGTACTTTTTGAGTTATAAAGGTTTGAAGTTAACAATTTTTTGACACAAAATGTAAATCTTGTAAAATATTATTTAGTTTTCAGTAATCATAACCTTAATACTTTTGTGCGCGGAATAATGAGACCAATTAATTGGTTTAAAGAAAATACATTAATTAAAAAGTGTCGGATCTCCCTAATATTTTCAGTAAGAATGCATTTTGGAAAATTGCAAATTGTTAACTTCAAACCTTTATAACTCAAAAAATACTTAATGAAAAAATGTTTTATTATAGTGTTTTGGAAAGCTCTCGAGATAAGCTATAAAAATATGCAATAAAATGTAGGGGGTTCCATTTAAAAAAATAAAGTTGACCTTGAAATGACCTTAAAGGACATGGTCAAGATCAAAGTCAAGGTCTTCATCTTACTCCTCTCTTGAAACCATACAACTTTGCTATTTGACATTTTCTCCAAAATGCATTCTAACTGAAGATATTAGGGGGGTCCGATACTTTTCGATGACCCTGTATATAAAGAATCAGTACAACCTATATGCAATTTATTACAATTTACGAATGAATAACGTCTTAATAAAAAGATATCTAAGCTAAAAATCTTGTCAATTTAATTATTATGTGAAAACGCTCGTTTGGTTCTAATTGGATTAATAGATGTAATCCTGTTTTACGATGTTAACAAATCAGTATCTTTTTTGTTGAAATAGATTCGCTTGTTGCTCGACGCACAAATGTCCAGATTCTATTATGCAAAAAACATTTTTCTTAGTATAAAAAAGAGTTATAAATAATATTCTAATTAAATAATTTGTTGTTATATAAATCGTTAAAGAAGTGTTATATAGTAATTCTATTTCATACCTGCATCGAAATAAACCATATGGTAAGATTTATTGAGACAAAAAAGATTTCCTTGGTTATTACTTTCGATTACTCTCTGTGACTCCTACCCCGAGTTACTTGCTTTTATACATTTAAACCATCATTAGAGAGAGGGTAGTCTTGAGTAAGAGACTTGATATTGAGCATAGGAAAATATATTTCTGATAAGCTCTGTATCATTTTGTTTATTTATGGAACTAGTTTGTTTTTTAATGAAAATCATTTCGGAGATTATTCTTTTTTAAAAGGATGGTTCAGAATCTAATATTTGAATATTCTCCCAATTTAAATTATGTTTATGATTCACTTGATGAAGCGATACTACTGAGAGTGAATTTGTAGGTTTTTTGATATTAACTTTATGTTCGTGTATCCCTAGTTTTCAATTTCCGTTTTGTTTATCCTACATATGAAGAGTTATAATCGAGGCAGCTGATTTTATATGTAACGTTACCTGGCTCTGTTTCTTCTAGTTTATCTTTACCTAATTTTATGAATCTGTTCAATTTATTTATAGGTTTATATGCTATGTTGAGATCGTTTTTTTCTGCAATCGTTTTGAATTTTTCTGAGATTTCGTTAAGGTATGGAATTGGAAAGAATTTTTTTATATTATCATCATTAGATTGATGATTATTATATAAATCAGTTCTTTTTGACAGAATTTTAATTCTATTATGGTGGAAAATGTTATATCCAGAGGATACCCATTTTTTTAATAATATTTTAATCATACTTACAATGTTCTTATTGTGGTATTCTGGATGCGAAAGAAATAGAATTCTATCGAGCTGCCCGATTATTAGCCCTTTTTGTGTATGATAGGATGGTTAGATTTATAGCTCAAAATTCTCCCAATTTATTTTTTTGCACAAATTGTTGAAATTAATAAATCTTTATTATTCACTCCTAAGACCTTGCGTAGTGGTGTATGCCCTTTAAATTAAAAATATTGTTTTATAAATTAGAATTTGAAAAGAATACGAAATATTTAATTCATTGCTTATAAACTTAAACATATTTTAATTATCAGAGTAAAAATGATATCAATTTATACTCTATAAATTTTAACGACTCATATGTATACCCATATGTAATTCGATGTAATTTATATCAATTTTTATATTTTATCTTTTTTTTTCAACATTTTACTACAATAATTATTGATAAATGTGTTATTTAATATTTGTGTATTGGGATTAAATAGATATTTAATATGTTTCAGCCTTACTTTATCACAATATATTTAATTCTTTTTATATTAAAAGTAGTTTATCCACTGATATTATTACAAAAAATGTTTACTATACGAACGAACATGATTATGAATTTATTTTGAAACATATCGTAATGTCTCGTTATTAAATTGATATTTTGTGATATGCTTCGACATTAATTATGTGTACGTAATGTACAAATATAGTAGATTCCGTATAGGAGCAACAATAATTTCTTAATAAAAATGTCATTGCATATTTGTACGATGATCTTGAAATTGCTGAGAGGGGCCTGAAGCACCCTCATTATTTGTAATATCGTCATACCTGAGCGCGCGAAATATCAGCTCTGTGATTAATAAACTTTAATCGCTATTAATTTAAAAACTATTATAGCCTCGACATTTTCGTATTAGGATTTTCGTCTTAGAATGTTCCAGAGAATCCATTCTTAAAAGGATGGTCGTGGGTTTTAAGACACCCTATATAGGTCTATAATAGGAATCTTAAGCCGTACGAAGCTTATCAATTATGGTTGATTATTCCCCTTACATTCGACCCATGACTGTCTAAAATTTCAATTGTCCCCGCATTATTAATTCTTTTCTAATATCTTGGGTATTTCGTGTCCGACCGATTTCTATTCAGAAAAATTTTTCCCACATTAAACGAACCTGGCTAATCTCTTCCTAAAAGAAGTTTGCGGGAGAACTATGCATGGTGTGGCGATAATTTCCCTGCATGGACTTCATTTTTGCGTTACTCATTTTTATATACTTCAAAAAAAATTTTTCAACCATTTTATTAAGTGAAAAAATGAATGGATTCGAGATACCCATGATAGTAGGGATGAGGAAGCGAATTAAGCACGATACTATAGGGATTAATGTGTTTTTTTATAGCTGAAGCAGAAGTAGCAGAGGCACAAATTGCAAAACGCGTAAAATATTCAACGAGGATTTCGGATGCTAGAGAAAGGATGGATGAAAATCAAGATCTTAATGACATAAAAACTTATATTTACGAAACAGATAGTTTCGAACATTTAGATTTGACAAAGATTAAAAAAGACAAGGAATCCGATAAATCGGAAACAGATTCTATTGATGTACCAAATAGCATAGATTCTGAAGTAGAGCCAAACAAAACCGATATGATTTCCAATAGATCGGTAAATTCTTCGTCAGCTGCAAGTAGTCCCTCCGCAACATCACAAAGATCAAAAGGTAGTCTTATTTCTGGTGGTGGCAGTCCAGGAGGAAGGCATAAAAATGTTGATATGTCAAATCCTTTATATAAAGAGCCATTTAAATACGGATGGAAGCGAGAATTAGTGTATAGAGCTAGTAATGACTCTTCTTCCAAAAAAATGGCTGATATATATTACTACACACCAGCGGGGAAAAAAGTTCGAAGTTTTAGAGAAGTTGCAGAATCTCGTAAGTATGCAAAAAAAATATGTTAAATCAATCGTTCAAGTAGTAAGCTGACGTCATTTTGATATCAAAATGATGACAGATTATGTCAGTTTGCTACATAGATATAGATATATTAAAATTGATTTTTGTTACAGTTAATTCAAAGGAATTGACCATTGACAATTTCACATTCTTTAAAGAACCTATTGGACTCAACGATTCTGAAAAGGAGGTTATTCGAGATGCTAAAAGAATACGAGTATGTGTTTCAGTTTTCATATTTTTAAATTGTATTGTTACAAAATATTATTATGTAAATAATTATTAACAAGTATTAATGTAATTATTTTTTTAAGTTTTAAGCTTTTTTAAATAAAGATTTGTTATTTATTGAATATTGCAGGGATCTACGGGTGGATCTGCAAAGAAATATAAAAGAACTGTACAAACGAAAAAAACAATACAGGAGCCTGTAGCAAAAAAACTAGTACAAGAACCTGTAACGAAAAAATCGTCACATGAACCTAACACATCAAAAAAACCTCCGGCACAAGAACCCCCTGTTCCTGCTCCTGCACCTGCACCTGCAGAAATTTCAAAACTTGTTTCCGCACCTGTGTCAATACCTACAAAAACAGCTAAACCAGCAAAAGTGATTTCAACATACAGAACAAGAACAACTACAAGAAAAACTCCTCAAATAAGTACGTTCTTATATTCATACTTATATATATTACGTTATTTTTTATTTTCTATAATTTCTATACTTTGTAATTTAGTAGTAATTTAATATATAATTTGGAGATGTATGAATTCCTATATTTTTGTACTATTTTCGTTTATCTTACAATTTTAAATGAATATGATTGTTTATAAAGAGAATTTTTTTTTTATTATTTTATATTACAAATTCATTATTCTTATGAATTTATTATGAAATTTGCATAGCAGAAATAAAATCATCAGTTCAAGAAAGTGAGATGCTTCCACCTCAACGGACTACAAATACGAGAAGAAATCAACAATCGATTGAGAAGACTATATCAATCAAAACCAAAAGATCGATAACGTGAGTATTTTAATTATTTAATCTTTCATATATATTTAATGCATATTACATTCAGTATCATTGATTTAATTAAGAAGATGAAATTTGTATAAAAAAACAAGCAAAATATCCATGAAACAAAAAATTTTTATTCGGTATTATAATATAATATGCTTTTTAATCTAAAACAAAAAGTATATTTTAATTATATATTGAAAAGAAAATATATATTAAAATCTTTCTGAAATAATATATTGAGTAATTGAATATTTAAATATAATTATGCATAATATTTAAAATGTATAAAACAATTATCGGTACAATTAATTATCAACCCAATTGAGTAAAACACAATCTCACGATACCGTATTTTATGCATTATTTTATTGTGTTATTAAGGAGATAAACATATTTTAAAATTATTACACAGCTAGAAAAACGAATAATCATTTTTACTAAATATTTTATGGAAAGTGCAAAATTTGTGCATATTCATAGATTTTATTACATGTGCAAATATAAATTAAAACACATGGAATTATGTAGCATATGCTATATAATTTTTAAATGTATGCTCTATATAATGTGCACAAACATTGCTGCCTTTAGATGAGAGAGAAGTTTATTGTGTCTATAATTTTCATAACCATTTTTCCCTTTGATCCTATTTTATACATCCTTAATGGGGAATCTTTGTGTTTTTTCCTGAATTCCTTTCCCCATCAACGCACATCTTACAGACCCAAAGTTCAAGAACCATGCAGCATAAGATGTTCGACAAGTATGGGATTAATACCAAGTTTACAATGTCGAGTTTGTCTCTGTTTATATCATCCTGAATGTGTCGATGGCATGGAGTTTGCAGGCAATGATGATTACGTCTGCAAGGTAGGTTTTTTATGCAACTAAGTAATTTGAATATATATATATATATAAAATAAATTTTCATCCTTTTATTGATATCTGCGTCGATTTTTATTTTGTTTTTTGTATACGTATTATTGCCTTTTGAATATAAAATGTATATTATATATACTATATATATATATATAGTTGTGTTTACTGCACATTTTATTTAAATAATCTTAATATTAAAATGATTTGAATTATTATGCTTATATAAGAATAAATCTATTGTAGAATTGTCAGCCGGATACTAAAGAATCTCAAATGCCAAACAATCCGTCTTTAACACCACCTCCGTTGATTCCGATTAGTATGTTAAGTGCACAAAATACAAAATCAACAAAACATCAGACTAATTCATCTCTTCCGAAATTGCAAAGAATTCCAAAATCCGATGGAACAGAAGCGCAAATAAAAAATTCTTCTAAAACTACCAAAATACCTTCGTCCTCAAACTCGTCCTCAACCATAGACAAAAAGGAAAGTACCTGGTTTCCTCAGACGGAAAATGAATTTTTGCAAAGTCATGATGGTACTATGCCGAAACCTGCTCAAAATATTGCTGTAATGGGCGGCAAAAGATATATTGTAGTACCAAAAAATAATGCAATGGCAGTTCAACCGGCTATAACAATAAAACCAGACAAAATTGGCGATAAGCCACCAATACTTCAAGACGGTTTACTTACCGATATTACGGATAATATTACAGATAATTCTATTACGAATTTATGTGCATCTCCATTTTTAAATACTGATTTACCTGAAAAAATAAATATTACACCTGATAAAGAAATTTCAAAAGACGTAATTCATCAAACAGATCTTGTATCTTCTGATACCACTGAAATGACTGAAACGTATGATGATAAAGATAAGGATAGTAATAGTACTCCTAAAAGAGATAATGCTATTAAAAATATATTAGAAAACGAATATTTTGCTGCCAATACAGATTATGTCTCAGAAAAAATAATAGATGCAAATTATACATCACCTGAAAATGAATCTATATGTACACCAGTACTTGCGGCAAGTATTACAAATGCTCTTGAAGCAAGTGCAGAAACTGAAACAATTAAAACAGATCGACAACAGTCATTATCAAATAAAGTGGGTACAGTATCGAAAATAAAAACTAGCAAGTAAGTGTATGTGCTTGTTATATAGGCACTTTTGTGTTTTATTTCTTATTTAGAATATTTTTTTAAATAATTTAAGTTTACGGCAACTTTTTGAGGTTTTGGCAGTTGCTTTGTGTACGTATTGTATTTACAAAGTTTAGTAAAAACAGAAAATACTTTTTCTATAATAATCCACGCTTTATCCAATTAAATGTTATATTCTTTTATTTTTTTACGTACTTTACAAGCTTGACTGTACATTAGATTTTATATTGTATAATATTTTAGATTGTATAACATTGTATATTAGAGTCTTATTTTATATAGCGACACATATGATAACAGACCCTTTATAGCCTATTTTATATTATAAATTGTGATATATAAAATTGTAAATGCAATATATATACTGATGCTTATTATATTTGGAAATATAAAAATGCAACATTAAAAATGAATTTGATTTTATCTTATGACCGAAGCACACTGCCTTAGCTTCTTAGAAATGCGGCCAAATTTATAACAAATGTAAGACAAATAAAAGATGCACCCGTTGATTATCACGGTTCTTTATGTAATTGTAGTATCAAGGTAAATTAATTTCTATTAATTCTTAAATCTAAGCATTAGTTTTACTCGATGTTGAAACGCACATTTATGTATAAATATATAAATGTTTACATTCATGCTGCAATTACAAAGTTATTGATAAGTGCTTCAGTGAAAAAAATCTAATTCATTTTTACTTTTTATATTTGCAGATATAAAGACATGTGTGCGAGCTGAAACAAAAACTCCTAGTGCGTTTTCCCATAAATTCTCACAATCCTTCTCCGTCATCCCATATCCTTTTTATTTGCATATTTATTTTTTCGTTTTGAATCTGTTACTTTCTTGATAAAAATATATACATTCGCGATTATTTTTATCAGAGGCTTTTTATATTGAAAATTATAGTATAAACAAATAATTTTTAATCATTGCGTCTTAAAAAAGCCTCTTTAAAAAAATAACCTTTTATTTCTATTTTATATAAATTTTAACAAATAAATACTGTCTTTTCAATTTGCAACATGATATAGGCATTTTCACAAATATAATTGATGTCAAATTTCTAAAATGCATATTTTTTCAATATTTTCAGGAGGAAGCAAAACCAACAGGAATTAGAGCCACAACAGAATTTCATGAATACATTTTGCGCCGGTTATCAATCCCTGCTGCGTGTTTTTCAATATCTTAAGGTCCAAGAGTTATTGCGAGCCACACGAGTTAATAAAACGTGGCGTGATCTCGCTGCACATCAATCTCTATGGAAGACCGTACGAATGAAAAACAGTCAAGTAACTGACTGGGATGGTTTGGCAGATGCATTGCAGAAACGTGGCACGCATCATCTAGATCTTAGGAAGATGCTAATTGCTGGCGAGTCCGACAGCATCTGGAAGAAATTTTTGACTGTCATACCACGAGTGACCAGTCTCGTGAAGCTTGAACTATGCAGATGTCCCGTTTCGGTTGTGGAAGAAGTTATTAAGACTTGTCCACAATTGGAAGTATTTAGTGCGATGTCGATCAAATGTGAATCTCTTACATTAGAATCGATCGGAAATTTGAGTCGATGTCAAGAACTCAGACTCAAAGCAATATCTGGAATGTCCTTACAACAAGATCTTACACCTTTACAAGAATTAAAACACTTAACACAATTGGTAAGAATCTATCAGTAGAGGTGTTCGAAAACGAATCGAATTCGAGAATCGGTTATAAAACGTTTCTTTTAATGTGTCGAAACCTAATTTAAAGCTAATTGTTGTGCTAAATTTGTATCTTTATTTCAGTTTCATTGGCTTAAACAAAATATTTTAAAAAATGAATAGCATTTTCTTCACAGTGTAAGCTAATAAGCGCACACGCTTGCACGAAGATTGGTAAACGCTGATTCGGATTCGAATTCGAACTAATTCACACACCTTTAAATCTGTTTCTTCGACATAATTTTTATTATAATTTTTTTGTATTATATTTTTCATTATATTATAATACGATATTAGAAAATATTTTATCTAAAATAATATATTATTTTTCTTTTATGTACAGAGTTTAACATCAGTTAAGGAACTCGGGAAGAAAAAAATCGACGTTTTACAATCATTGACAAATTTGGAGACGTTAGAATTAGGCGAATGCTCCGATTTTCCTGATAAGTTTGGAACTACTGTTTTAATCAATTTAAATAAATTGGAACGTCTTAGACTTGAAAAAGGTCAAGGATCGTGTTGTACATTTGATATCCTTGAAGGCGTATCAAAATTGCAGAATTTGAGTCAGATGGAATTAGTCAATTTTGATGTGAAGAATGGTTTTGACAAATGTCTGGCTAATTGCAAGAACATCAAAAGGTTATTAATTATACCGACTTACATATCCCAGTCGGCAACATCTAACAACATGGTGCTTGGAGGTGTCACAGAATTGTCAGACAATTTAACGCATTTTATATGGGGTGTTACACTTGAATTACTCAGGGTTACGGAACTGTTTATTGATCAGTGCAATCTTATGAAAAAACAAATTACAGGGGATTCTATACCAGTTTTAAAACCTGTTCCCTGCTTAAGATTAATTTCGGATGTTGAGGATGAGAACGAGAACCAAAAAGAAGGTATATTATCTTGTAGAACTAGTTATCAGCTAGCTGATTAACATTATTATCTCCACGAATAATTTATGATTAAATTGTGAAATGTTATTTAATAATTTTACAGCTGATGATAAACAACAGCTGCAACAAACGGGTCCGCAAGTCGACATTTTACCATTGCCACAATTGCAAAAGCTTCTTTTAACCGCATTACCCAAGACACGAGTCAAGATCTTGAAAATTCCTTTCCATGCTACGTGGCGACAAAGTATTTCTGATACTACCACGCAATAGAAACGAGGTGATGCTGGTTCGAAGTCGAATAAGACAAACAGAATTAAAGCGACAGTTGAAGATTTTGGTAAAGTAATTTGTAAAATTGCTATATTGTCCATGCTTCTACAGCTACTATTTTTTGGATGGAAAACTTATATATTTGGTACACTATGAGTTTTATAATCTTCAACGATTAATAATCCTTCGCAACGTATTGGTACACACTGCGGTATATTTAGTATTTGTGATAAATACGTGGGACCATGTATCATGCACCATCTTTGCCATAGGCAAAATGATACAAGTTGGTACCCTTGTATAGATTAATCAAATAAAATTCTGACTTTTATATATCACGATTTTATTTTCTCGAAGATAATGGAAAAAATGGTATAGATTTGTATCGAAGTTGCTGTGATGTGTACCTGCGTTGAAAGTAATCGAACATGATTACATACATACATACAAATATGTGAATGTTTTGGATTTTTAAGGTAAGAAATTAATATTTCTAAAATGACATATTCATTAATGAGAAATATACATGTTAAAAAGGTGTTTGAAAGCAAAACAAATCGTTTTAATCAACACTTCAATACTAGGAGCATTGGTCTTTTAGGATACCTACAAGACGATATCCAGTATCGCGAAAGTAGTTAAATTTATAATTTTAACATAGAGTGTCTACTGGAAAAAAATAAGTATAGGATCACATGATCTATATGGCTCTATTTAGAGATTAGGCTGTATAAAATAATTCTATATACATATTATAATATTATCTCTGTATCTGTATCTTTTAATGTTTAGGATACATGTTTTCCGCTGCAAAGAAATTATGGTAAAATTTGGGATAGTATATAGAATATGTAATATACTTATTTCATTGCACACAATACATAATCAAACATACTGTTGAAAATATTCATTGATTGATATATACTGAGTACAAAATGTGTGTAACTGTAAGTTTTCAATAATGACTTCTATACTCTTAATGAATTTATTTCTTCGTTTGCTAACTCTGTGGCATTATCTTCTCTAAAGCTCGATGTCCACGATGCTAGAAATCGGTCCGAAATCTCGGACAGAGAAAGAATTAACAAATCACATTTAAACAATTTGGTCACATGACTAATGCGATTGGTCAATTCTTTCTTCATCCGAGGTCTTTGACAGATCTCTAGCATTGTGGACATCGGACTTTAGAAATGTATTAGATGAAGAGAAAGAGATTTGTATTTTATGGTATTATGATCAGGGTTTGAAAAAACTCGGGTTTTTAAAAAATCCCCAACCCCCCAATTTTTTTTTCCCCCCAAGAAACCCGGATTTTATTGAGTTTTTTTGGGGTTAAGTGGGATGCGCCCATAGTTTAATTTTAACAATGGCTGCGTTCAGCAGACTCAACAGTTTTGCAACCGTTTTATGATTGTCTGCTGAGATAGGACCATTCTTCTAGATCTAAAAGTATGATCCAATTAGCGCGAAGGAAACTTACAACAGTTGCAAAACAAACGTTCTGCTGAACGCACCCATTATTAAGAATTTTTATTTTTAAACTGCATATGTGAGAACACAATCAATAATAGAAATTAAAAGGTCGAAACTGGATCTTTAATGCTTAAATAATTCAATCTAGAATTACTAAATATACTATATGTACTTGCATATATATCATATTTGTAGTTTTTCGAACTGCGCGCTGAATTATTTTTCCGGACTACAAAAACGCAATTAAACTACTCTAGTAATCTCACGAATTGAATTAACAAGCAATTTTTAATAATTTTGATGCTCAATCAGGCATCATATTATAAAGATGTTAATATGCTGAAAAACTAATTAAAAATTTATTGCGAAAAATATTACTTTAGATTACCGAGGCTTGCGACTACGACTAAAATTTTTGTACGTATAATGGCCTTAAGGGCCATAGCAGAAAGGTTGATTTATAAACTTAAGATAGTTTTTGTACGTTACCCCAGATTAAGATTTAAGCCGTAAGAAATTGACCAATTACAGTCGAATCCGAGGGGAATAATCGACTGTGATTTTTATTACTTCCGAGCAAGCGAGACGTTGATTGGCTATCGCGCTAACTTCCGCCGTGCGGCAAGCGTTGCCGCGTTCTGTCTGCATGAGGCATTATGGCTCCTACACACATGCTGGATTCACACTGCATCCGATTTTCATCGTACGACGCTTTGCAACCAATCAGAAAATAGGATTCCGATGATACGAAGCAAAATTTATCGGAATCCTGTTTTCTGATTGGTTGCAGAGCGTCGTACGACGAAAATCGGATGCAGTGTGAATCCAGCATATGACTGAACGTAAAAATAACCAAGAAGGTAAAGGCCATCACACGTAAAAAATTTTTAGTTGCAATCGTAAGGCTGTAAGCAAATCGGCCAATCACAATTGAGCGTTATTGTAAACGCGAGATTGTAATTTTGATTGTGATTGGTTGATTTGCTTGCGATCTTACGATACAACTAAAATTTTTGTACGATGATGGCTTTAAGGCCGGAATCAGACTACGCATTGAAGATTGAGATTGAAAATTAAACATTAAAATTTGACCAGTGAGGACACAGGAATTTTAGCTCCTATTGTTTTGATTGGTTAAATTTCAATCTTTAATCTCAATATTCAATGCGTAATCTGATCTCGGCCTAACGCGCAATGCAAAACAGGGGTAGAAGGCATTAATTGCGCGAACTGTTCACTTTGTATTCTTATATCATGAGGCCTGTTCTTTTTGGCTGAATTTTTGCACCCGTTCATCTTCCTCTTTTTTCCTCCTAGAGAGAAAAGGAAGAAAGATGAACTGGTGCAAAAGTTCAGCCAAAAAGAACAGACTTATGGTTACAAGGTTGCCAACGTGAGAACTATAAACATCTAATTATACGCGGTCTTTTTTGATCCACCATTTGACGCCGTGCTTAACTCACATTAAAAATGAGGTTATAAACCTGTGTTATTATGCAATAACTTATCATCAAAATAAGCAAGTAATAACGTCATTATTTGAGTATAAAATACTCAGGTCATTTCACATGCAACCAAAGACATAGAGAATGGACTGCGCGATCCGTGGTCAAAATAGTCGATAAAAGTAAGAGAGAGGGATCGTGGAAGACGGTCAATCTGTATCTCTTTCCATTCAACGGTATAATGGAAGAGAGAATGAGGGACTGCGCAGAATAAAAGGAACGGAGAATTTTTCCGCATCGTGTGATTTCACCATAAGAATTTCAAGCTATCAGAGTGAAATCACACGGTGCGGAATAGAGAATGCGTCATTGAAGCAACCAATCAGCGCGCTATTCAGTGCTGTTCGGAATTATGTCGACATAATAAATTTAAATATTATTTAAGTATCAATTAAACATATATTCAAATATCATTTCTGAAGTACTTAAAATTTATTAAGAGTTTTGTAATCTGTTTACAGATTACAAACTTGTTGAAATAAACTTAAAGTATTTCTCAAAAACGGTAATTATATCGCCAACTATTTTGATTAATTAATCACATTATATGTATAAGCACATATACATAATTATTATTAGAAAGAGAGAAAGTCACTTATACCTGCAGTTTTCAATATCATTATTCATATAACAAAGGTTTTCCGCAATTAAAGTAAAACAACTCACAATAACATCAAAATGACATTAAACTGAATCGCGATTGACTAAAAAATGACTTAGTAAACATTTTGAAGCTATTTTAACATGATAATTTTTTATTCTGTTTAAATATGTTTTTCAATTTATTTTATACATTTTTGTGAATAAAAAAAAATACATACGGGATGACATTGTAAGAGAATGAAGAAATTGTCTCTTCTGCAGAGAGCGATTTGCTATTTTTATTCTTAGATAACACTGAATAAAAATTTTTTCGTTATATATATAATGTTTTATTTATAAAAATAGTCCAGAAACATGCGAAAACAATCATTTTTATACGACAAATAAAAACAATCATTTATACGACAAATATGCGTTGATTGAGTGTATACGGGGGTCATTTAATTGTACAAAAAAAAACAATCATTTATACGACAAATATGCGTTAATTGAGCGTATACAGGAATCATTTAATTGTATCTGCGCTCGATTTTGAATATCCGCTGCTCAGCGAGAAAATGATGTTCAATGCCGGACTTTCATGGGCATCTTCCTCCACTTCACAAGTTTTTGTAGGAGCAGAACGGTATGTCTGTACTTGTTTACAAAATATTCACGTAATTTTAAAAATCGCTTGGACACATGACTTCCGTATACACGGTAGGTAAAAATTAAATATGTGTGTATGTGGTGTATTTATATAATCAAGAACACAACGTAATATGAAACACATTATAATACATACACACATAAAAAGAAATTCAATTCGGTAATGCGAAAATGTTTTTTCTGAAAAATTTACAATTCCGTTTTTATTTAGATACAATATATTCATATTAATAATCTAATTCTGTTTGAACAAACATATACTAAAGTCGCAAAGCATGGAAAACGATCAAAAATTGCGTGATTAATAAATATTTTTATCAAATTTATTGTTGTATTTGGCACGTGCAATATTCCAGAGTGTCCCGGCTGTGTAATTCGGTCGGAACGCAAATGATCGAGGGCGATGAGTGATCCAGCCGGGAAGTAACCGCGAAAGTAGGTGACCCTTGGCAGAAATTGGAAAATCAATAAAGTGTGCGGCGCGGTCAGCGGTGAACCGCGGCACGCGGGGATCGTGCTGTTTGGAGGTTATGTCGCGCATATATTACGACACTGACACCCGCGTCGCACGCAGGCCGCCCATACGTGCTATTTTCGTTGCGGCGAAAACTGTTTATTCTCGCTGGTCGTCGTAGGCGCCGCGCGTTACGCACTTATAATGCATCTGAATGCGAAGAGAAGCTACGAGAGCGCCGTGAGATAGTAGACAAAAATGGGCAGGAAGAAGACTCATGCATCATCGAGGGGTAAACAACAGGGTCCATCACCGCAACAGAGACATATATCCGCGGCGAAAAGGAATGAGCTCAATGTCCTGTGCGAGAAACTCTTTCATCGTGAGTACTCCCACACTTCGAGTTCTTTCTCGACATCCTTCACCACGTTTGACAAAAAGCCTTGTTTCTCAATCATGTAAAAGATTTCATATCCTTCTAACTATGACGTTTAGTAATAAATGAATGAACAAGTGATGTTTTCCAGCAAGAACCATAGTGTAACACAGTGATCACTTCATCTTTGTTTAACGTGTTATGCTGTATCATTTATGTCTCTTGTTGGAAAGCACCCATAGAATGCCTAAAATTAGAGAAGAGATAGAATGAATATGTTTCAAGGATTTTATGTATATACATATATTTTGATATCATATGCTCCACTATTGGAATCTATTCTGCTGTTATATATTGTTGAGTTATTTGTTTTTACATGCTATTTTGCTGTGTTTACAGTGAGTAGCAATCCAGCGTATGTGACGCAATCATGGAACAACTACTTGGATATATCAGAAGTTCTGCTGAAGGTTAAACGTCTGGAGGAGATGAAGACGGAATCATCTCAGCGATCCCAGGGGATTGGACAATTCATAAATTGGCTGACGGAGAATGGGGCGCAAGTGGATGGCTTGAGTATCGCCGAGTTTCCAGGATATGATCTGGGACTGAAGGCGCAGACCGACTTTGCTGAGAACCAATTGATCCTCGAAATACCTAGAGGGCTCATCTTCAGCACGTATACCGCAGCATCAGAATTGACTATTCTACAAAATGATCCACTGGTGCAGCATATGCCGCAAGTGGCTTTGGCCATAGCGCTTCTCATAGAGAGACACAAGGAGAACTCCAAGTGGAAGTCTTACTTAGATATGCTTCCAAGCAGTTATAATACAGTTTTATACATGAAGACTAATGACATGATTGAGCTGAAAGGCAGTCCTACATTAGGTACATAAAAAATTATTTTTACAAATCTTATTTTACACTGTTTTATCCAAAAGGTGAATTTATATAAGTCCATGCATTGTATGTTTGATAATACAAAAGATAATTTTAATCTCATATTAATAGTAACTAAATTTATATTTTAGTTTTTGTGTAGCATAGTTTGTATTGCAATTTTTATAGCTTTTAATTTTCATATTAGATTTATTCTTTATTTCTTTACTCAGAGGCTGCATTGAAACAATGTCGAAACATCGCGAGGCAGTATTCTTACTTTAACAAAGTATTTCAAAATACCAACAACGCTGTTTCAGCGATACTTAGAGACGTTTTTACTTACGAAAGATATTGGTGAGTAATTAGAATAAAATATATAATAATAATATTTAATTCTTTTTAAATAAGGGTAGGTAATCACAAATCAATTGAATGTAATTTATAATTTTATATATAAAATTAACTTTTACAACACATATATTTATATATAAACCTATAAATAAATACATCTTAGTTTCTATACGTAGAAGTTTAGCAAAATAATTTAACAATTTTATGATAATGACGGCCATTTATTGTATTTTAAAAATCCTATTTAAAAAATAATTTTATTGTATATTTTAATTGCAACTTTTTTGTATTGGTTGTATTTTAATTACAACTTTTTTGTATTAATCATAATTTAAAAAAGCATATAGATTTATATACATTTAGGGAACTGATTTACTTTCTTCTCGGTAAAATAACGCGACGAGTAACTTAACAATCGATGTAGCTCTTGCTAAGAATTCAATCAGCCTTCGGGATGTAACTCGTCCCTGATAAGTATGCAAAAATACTGGCAATTTTCTATTAGATTGGCGCAAAAAGTTTACACGTGTTTCTATTATAATCTTTTGTTTTAAATAACGGATGTTTTGAAAATAAGATTGAAACATTTTTGTGAAAAAATAATATTAAAATCCTTCTAATAATTTCCTTCAAAGTAAAGATTATTATGAAAATAGTACGATTAAAAATTATAACACTTTATTTTATTTAATAAAAAAAATTGAGATATATACGAATCTTCTACGCCAAACTAATAGGCTAATCGTGCAATTGTCGGTGACGAGTTACTTAGCGTAATCGGGTATCGTCTCCCAACTATCGTTTGCGTCTAATGAATCATTATCCATATCGCTCTTGCTATCAAAGTCCTCCACAGACTCTTGTGTCTCCGTTCTTTCGGGCCTCTTGGTCGTCGACGTGGCAACGACGTTCACCATCACGGCACTCAAACTGCTGGAATTCGACAGCTTTCTCGCCGCCATAACCGGGCCTTGAAAGACTGCACGAGAGAACGTGTTTCTGTATGTGTACTTCTGCTTTTGCCGAATCCGGCATACGATGAAGATCGCCATGAACACGACGATCGTCACGCCCAGTATCGCACCGCTCGCTATTATGCTTGGCTTCACCTTCGACAAGGTCTTCTTTTCTTCTCCGCCGTTCGTGCTGCTCAATGTTTCGCCATACACTGTTTTTATATCAATAGTGTTCGGTTCTTCTCTCACAATCTCTTCGACGTATCCAGCATGGAATTCACTGGAGTTATTCGATCGAAGTGTTTTCTCTGTCTCATCAATCACCACTACACTCGCATTATTGTTGTCTACCGCAAGCTTCACTTTTGATTCGTGTTCATTGTTATTGATTTCAGTCTCGAAGTTATCAATTTCAGACTGCCGTTGCACATCCTTTGCGAAAGGCAGAGAATCGAACGTTGTCAGTAAATCGACAATCTGCACCGTTCGACGGGAATTCTCCAGTTCATCAGCATTTAGCGTATCATTTCCTGGGTACGTCATTTCCCTTGACACGTTTCTGTCACGTTCGACGAGATCCAACAACCTTGACATCGACATATTCTCTACGTCTTTGTCGAAGAACGGATCGTGTAAGTAGCTCATGATGTCTTTGAATCGATTCATCGTCTCTTCCATCTCTTGCTTCGCGTCTCCTCTTTCTGAGCTATCATCTTCGCCGAAATGTTCGTTAGAGTTGCTTGTAGGCGAGAGTGATATGATAATTTCTCCGTTGTTTGTATTAGAGGTTTCCAGAGTTTGATGATTTTTAGGCTTGGACATCCTCAGTCTCGATACTTCCGTCAAGTGGACCTTGCTAGAGCCCCTTTGACGTAAAGCTATCAACTCCTCCACGCTCATATTCCTCGATTTGAGAAGACGTTCCAGTCGCTTGCCGGCCGAGCCGGACGCAAACAGCTCGAAGATTTCCGCTCGCGCCTCCGGTTCGATCTCGGAGACGACCTCCTCGTAGCGTTTGGTATCCCGATGATTTTCCAACGTGCGATCGCGAGCTCTCTCTCCCGGCAATCGAGTCACCTGATGATAATCAGCTGAGTGATTCTTGTCACGAAGCTCTTTTCTATCATCAGCCTGATTCGCTGTTTGTTTCTTCTCAACCTGACTCACAACAGCAATTTTACTCGAGTGATCTTTACTTTGTTTCCCGTTGTCTTCCGGGTTCGAAGCGTCACTCTGATACTCGGCTTCGATAAATGTGTTGTAATCCTCAGCGGTGGGCACGCCGATAGGAAATGATTGACCGTTATCACGAATCATTTTTCTCTCATTATTATTGTTGATGTCGTCCTGATCGTTCTCACGATCTTCCACTCGCTTGGTCCGCTCCGTGGGATTGAGAATCTGTTCGATGCTCAAAGTGGACTCGGTATCGCGAGGCGCTTGCTGCGAGATGATCCTCTCGCTCGGCGGACCCGAATTTTTCCCTTTCTTGAAATCCGTGAAGTCCGAGAATTCCATGATCTCGTCCTCGTCGAGGCTTTCAAGCTTCGTCGCGTGGTCGCTCATCGCTTCCGCGTTGCCTTCGTCGTTCAGAAAATACTCCGCGGAGTTTACCGCGATTGGTGGCAACGTTGACGTGGTAATCACTGTCGAGAGCGTTAAGGGAGTCGTCGGAGCTCTTAACCAGGAGGCATCGTGCGCGGATCGCGTCATCTTCTCAGCGTCTTCCGATTCTTTAACACTATTTGTGTTGTTTGTGGAAATCTCGAGTCTCTTCGAGACTTCATCCGTGACGTTCTTCATCTGGGAGCTATCCGAAATCGTATCTGAGGTTGTAATTTTTATTGTGATATTTTCAAACATGAACGGTTGCGTAGACACCCAGGGTGGTGTCACCGTCGCAGCGAGCTTCATCAGCGAATCGGACATCACCCTTGACATTTCCTCGATATATTCATCGGATTCATCGGTGATCCTCGATTTCAGAGCGTTGATCACGTCAGTTTTTCCCTTTAGGAGATCGTTCAGGGTCAGATTTCTGCGCTGAAGTATTTCCGATAGACTCAAGCCCTCCTCCTGTTGCATCTTCAGAAGCGACTTCAGCTCGAGCGCGTTCTTTCGCTCTTTCTCTGATTCCGTCGAAAGATTCTCGTTGCCCTTAGGTAAATATCGAGGAAAACTTTTCGATTCCTCGTTCCCGTTGTTAGAGGATGCCTCGTTCGCCAGGGCGAACTCATAATTCTGCGGTGGTCGTCTCTTCCTCGGGCGAGGTCTTAGGTACTCCTCGTCGCTGAATTCATGTTCGTACTCATTGGGACGAGCTTGGAAAGCTTCGCGATATCTCCAGGTAACTTCCCGGTCGTTCAACGAACTATCAACGATGTTACGACCGCGTTTTTCATCGTTGCTTACTGCACTATCGATCGTTTCCTCGTAGAACGTTGGACTCTGTGAATTCTTCAATGGACGACGTCTCTTGCGCGGATAATTTTCATCGGGATTCTCGTAGTTCCGACTTTGATAGGAGGCTTCATGGTCATAGTCGTTCGGAGGTGGTAATCGTCTGCCCCCTCGAGGACGATCCGGTTGATCGATCGCGTAATGATACTTGAACGGTCGGCGACTCGTCGCCAGTAAAGCCTCCTGTTCAACATCCTCGACCTCGTCCCTCGTGTAAGACCGGTAATGAGAAAACGGTAGCAGAGGCACGGAGTCGCCGTCACGCCACTTTGGCTCGAGAGCTTCGCCGTTGCTTCTCCATTTGCCTGCAGGAGGCTCACTCGATCGCTCAAGATTTTCCGCGGAACTTTGCAACACTTCTGCGTCGTTCAACTGTCCCCGCAGCTCCGTCTGAAAGAATAAAAGATTTCTTAAAAATCAAATCTTATAATAAATAAATATTTAATAAATTTCAACTAAATACGTGGATTTTTAAATCAATATTTTGTGCAAAGTTATGCGAAACATAGTCGAGAAAATATTTTAATATTTCACGGAAAGAACAAAAAATTCATTTTATTGGATTGTCAAAATAATTATGTACGCTTAAGTGATTACTAGAATGTTAAAATTTTTTGCAACGTTTCTCATATCATGCTTAAATTCTCACATATCTATTTTAACAATTATTGAAATTATGTTCAGAACTGTATCTACCTAAATTTTTAGATACTTCAACAAAATTGTTCTTTCCATGTTGAAACTTTTTTATGATATATATAATTAGTTGATATTCATGATATCATGTAATTATTTAGATTAGCTAGAGTTATAATTATAATATATATATTTTAGGTCACGGTATCTTCATTTTACAAGATTATTAATTTTTTTTTCTTTATTTCAGTAATTTTAAGTAATTTTATTTCGCAGCGAATATTGTTTCCTATATCGGAACAAGTTTCCTGATAATATTTCCTGTTCAATAATATTTAATGATCACGTTCAAGAAAGCAATTCGTTTTTTCATGAATGTTATGAGAACAAATTATCTGCGATATTTACCACTTATTGAAATTGCTCGCAGGGATAAAATTAAACTTCGGCAAATTGCAATTCGTCTTAAGTCACGCAGGAAATCATTGTTAAACGAGGCATACAATTGTGAGCAACGGTAAATGCCAACGACCATAACGATAGAAAGTATTGAGGTGTTTGTAACTCTTTATAAATACAATCACGAAATGTTTACATAAATAGAGAACTGATCTTCCACTAGAAAGATTACATTTTTCAATAAATCATACGCTCACAGTTTGTGCACTAAAATTTAGAATGGAGTTTACTCAGACATCAGAAGAAAAGTCAACTTTCATGATTTATTTATATCTTTGTCAAAAAGACGTTTTAAAAGTTTCTATATTAAAAGGACATTTGTTTCGGGAAACTTTTTACATTGACACACTATTAAATTCATAATGTCAAATTGTACCTAATTTGAGTTATTTTTAACCATTTCTGTAGGTCATTACTGTTCCTACTCAATATGTCGTTAACTTTACTAAAAGAAATGGAATTAAACAATTTAATTCAAATAAATGTATTAAATTTCACTCAAATTTAGTTTGTTATTTGAGTGCATACGTTAATATAAATATTGTTTACTTTGAAACTAACCACAGAAATGAATTGATTTGGACGGAATGACATTTGGACACACATGAAAATTAAAAATAACAAAATGTTATTTCAAGAAAAGAAAATGTTAATTAACTCGAAAGATTGGGTTACCATTGCTCTTTTGATTGCTCTAACAGTGCAGTATGCCACGGAAGTACGCGTCGCGAGCACTGGATCTTGCATATATCTCTCGATTATTCGTCAAGATCTTCTTCATGCTGAAAGGAGGAGGATTCGGCGATTTCTCGCTTTTACTTTCGCAAGCCGGACGCTCGCGCGTGAGAATGTGTGAAATAGAGAGCCGCGTGCGATTCTTTGCTCGCGAAGATACTTTTCCGTTCTCGTTTCGCATGGCAGAGACAATCTTCTAGTCAAATTAATTCACTATTGAAATTGTTGTAAAATAATTTGGATTATTATTTCAGGGTTGCCACAAGTCAGGGAAATCAGGGAAGTCATGGAAAAGTTAGGGATTTAGCAAAATTTTCTGAAAAAATAAAGTGGCTGTAAAGAAGTTTAAAATATGCTTATATCACAGCCATGCAATTTTAGTTACGCGCCCTCATGTGCTCTCACGGCTTGCGCTACCACTTGATAACGCGTGGTGGGGGGAAGAGTAGTTTTTATAATAGCAGATTGAGATTTTAATAAACAGGATTTAGTTTTAATAAAAAAGAAACTGTATTTATTGATTTATGTTCCTTATATTCTCCTCTCTTTCTCTTGCTGCTGTTTATCGATAATAAATAGCAGCAAAGAGAAAGAGAGGAAGAGGAAAAGAATCGTGTTCATACATAAAAGGAAAAGAAAAAATATTACTAACTTAACAATTAAATGCAGTTTTAGCAACATTAATAGTAATTTACACTGTTATGTTAAATTGCTCTATCAACAAAATATTTAACGATTTTCAAATTAGCATAAAAATACAAAAACAGTTTCAAAATATGTGTTATTGAAAGTCAGGGAAAATCAGAAAATTTTGTTGGAAATCAGAGAAATGTCGGAATTTTGGGACAAAAAATTTGTGGCAACCCTGTATTTGCTTATAATGATAAAATAATTTACTAGAACAAAAATTTTAATAAATCGTAATTTACACATTTTGTACCCTCTTACATAAATTTTTTGAAGAACAATTTTACTGAAGTATCTAAAAATTTAGCCAGATAGTTAACCAAAATAATTACGTAGGAAACTCAAGTATGATGAGTAATACTGTAAAAATTTCTGACATTTTAGTAATCAGTTTGAGCATCTTGCATAATTATTTTGATGATTCAACAAAATTATTTTGAGATCTGTATTTAACTGAATTTTTAGATACTTCAACAAAATCAGCTCTATATAGCTAGCAGGATCAAATCAGCAGAATCGGAATTTTTAGTAGGTACTCATTTTATACTAAATTGTACCACTAATGATAATTTTGTACCTTGTGCCATTTCGAAAAAATCATGGCGCTGCTAGTTTAATATTTAAGCTGGCAGAACCATAAAAAAAGCAATACAAGAGTAAAAATTAACACAACTGAATTTGTACTAATTTTTACCATTGAAAGTAAGTTAATATAATATTTTACATGTTTTTTCCTTAAAATGATTTTATTAGTATATACTTACAATGTATGAGATATTCCACGTCAAATCGGGCATCTTCGAAACATCATTTTATTTTTTTTAATTTGCTAATATATTCTACAAATAAAAATATGAGACACGTGTTTCGTGAAAAAAATGTGAGATTTTTTTGTGAAGTTATTGACGCTTATAAGTTGCAGAAATTCATAAAAAACGTCGCTCATGCGAACATTCAAATTATTATATTGTCGAAACCATTAGTCATACAAAAAAAAATGCAAAATTTTCCGAAATCAAAAGATCTTCTGATTTTAAAGATCTTAAATTGTTTTATGGTTGAGTTATTTTTAATTTATTATATTGTTCTATGAATGGGTTATTTTTAATTTATCATTTTCCATTTATAAATAAATCATTTTCCATTTGTTTACAATTTTTTGAACATTTTTCATCATCAACTCATCAATTTAAAAAATTTGTAAAAATATCATATTTCCATTTCAATTATGAAGTAACTCTGAAAATTTCGATAGATTCGATTTGATTCTGCTGATTTGTAGTCCTGCTAGCTTTATAGAGCTAACAAAACCATCTTTTCTGTGTACATTTAATTGACTTATATTTAATACTTATAATTATACTAAAGATTTAATAAATAATTTATATTTTTATTACACTTATACATTTAATTCTCTTATATTTAATACTTATATTAGAGATCTAATAAATAATTTATTTTTTTATTACACCTACATATTTAATACATTTATATTTAATACTTAGAATTGTATTAGAGATCTAATAAATTAAGATCATTTTGCTCAATGACATCTTTGTTATGTTCCGTTACGTTGCTAAAATGCATCGGGCGAAAACCGATTGAACATAAGCGAGTCATTGTAGCATTTCATAAGCGGGCGTTAGCTCAATCGGCTCATTAGAGTTATATTAAAGCATTTCGTAACTTTATTAATACAAAGTTCCGTGCTTTCACGGATGATTTTCACTTCGCTTTCTCGCCGCAAAAAAAAAAAGATCGCACGCGCGCGTTTCCCATTTTCCACGGTCCATTCTTGGTATATTCGCGAACCACGTGGGAAATTATCCGCGATTACTCTCCTGTGAGTAACGGAAATCGCGGGAGAGTAATTTAATACGGCTTGTCGCATTTCGCTTCGAGTTGACGCTCAAAAAGGCTACGTTTCGGATTTTCGAATTTGTCACCAATTTTTTTTAGCGCTGGCATTCCAGCGTTGTATCGCATAAATCTATCTTTTTATTGTCCAACAGTATGAGTTGTGATATTTATAATTGTACGTTTTCTCCTATTCTTTCCGAGAGAAGAACTTGCCCTGAAGCGCTTTTTACTTATACTACTAAACGGATATTTTTTCCGTTTCTTTTTGTTTCTCTTGAAGGCCAGACTGACATCAGATTTCATTCCTCGCCTTCGGCCCCGAGATCAGGGATACGGCGAAATACACGACAAAACGCTCATAAAGTCTCGAACTTTCCGCGCGGTACCAGCTTTCTCTTTCTCTTACGGTTCACGCGCGAGTTTTCTCGTCGCAGCGCATCGATCTCGCGATCATCAGGCGCATCGACGAAAAATTCCGGGAGGAAAAGCGCTCCGACAGAAAATTGATCTCGGAGCCGATCTCGCAGAATACAAGTTAGGAGAGATACAGATAGATGTACAAGGCTGCTCGGAAATCGCTCACTTTCCCTGAAGTTATAAACGATAGAAGAATGAGGCCCGTTTCAATGTTGAGGTGTCGGTAGTTTTCGTGCTCACTGGGGATCGGAAACTAGTTTCAGCGGTTTACGCTTCAGTAAATCTTATTTATCAAGAATTTAATATTTAAAATGAAAAATATATGACATAAAAATGAAAAAATTCGTTTTATATTCGTTAATTCATATTGTTGATAGAAATCAAATAAAAATGGAATAATTCAGGAAGAAAGAGAACTCTCACTATACATATTATATATAAAACTCAAATGGGCTCGCGAAAAGTAATTAATTATATTAATTGTAAAATTTTATAGTTTTCTTTTTGCACTCTATTATCGCGTGTTGTCTCACATTATATGTATATGATCTATTGGATCATTGCATAATTTTTGTTCCTTTTTTTATTGAAATTCAAATGATTTGTGAAACACAGTCAATTTGTCAACATTGAATGACTGGGCAATCTGTCACTCAAAAAAGAAGTGTTTAATTTTAAAATATTAAAATGTTTTATTTTTGTCTCCGTTTATTTGTAAACATTTAAAGATGTTTTAGTTTTAAACATTTTCAATCAAAACAAAACACTATGTGTTTGAATTTAAAACACTATGGCTGGCTTGTTCTATCTTTTAAATAAAACTTCAACTCACTCTCTTATTCTCTTATACTCTTACTCTTCTATTTTTTATTTATCCAATTAGTAAGTAAATTATCACATAGTTTATCCGAAGATGAAGCAACCGGTCGTATGTGTTTTAAATTCAAACACATAGTGTTTTATTTATTGAGTCTTTTTACGAAAAAAAACGTTCTCAACATTTTGCGCTTAACTTGAATCACTCAGTTTAACGATGTCTAATGAACGCAATTATGGCGGAACTTGGTCGAACCTGTCACCCACGAACGTCACGATTATTTCGCAATCGCGACATATGTGCATATGCTTACTTATTTCTGCCCGACTTAGAAACATTCAGTGGCACCGCATGACGAATATCAGTAGAAATGTCACAACCTACCAGTTTTTACGAATAATCACGACTTGTTAAAAACGTCAGAGATACGACTTTCGGCTCTTAGACCAGATAAAACGGTTATTCACCTCTTCGCATCTAAAATGTTACTCCAGAAAGTTACTTCGCGCTAAAATTGATATGAAATCCTCAAAAAAGGAAAATCAACGTTTCTTCCTATTATAATAAAAGTTATCTCGGAAGTTTGAAAATTATAAACTTTTATTTTATAATTAAAAAGACTTTCATTTTATAATTAATTTGCACATACAATATATATTGTTAAATCCATAGAGTCAAATTTAACTTAATGTGAGTCGCCACTGCTCCTACTCAATCATATCGTTATTTTAAATTAAAACAATGGTTATATTTGATACTATATAGCGTCAAATTGACACGATGTAATGTCAAATTTAATTATCGTTTTAGTAAAAAATAACGATATATTTAATAGGAGCAGTGGCGACTCATATTAAGTTAAATTTGACAGTACAAATTTAACAGTGTGTATATGACAAGTTTAATTTATTTTAAAATCAGCTTTTTTGATTAATTTTTCAAAAAATTAAATTCTCCATTCAAATTTTTGAAAAATCGGTCTTTTAATTGATTTTTCAACGATTTCTCTATTTAAATCCTCGATTTACATTTATCGGAGGATTTCTACACACGTGACATCTCGCTTGCTCGAAGGAATGCCACACTTTCGTTGCAAATTCATCGAAGCAAGAACGACGTTTCTCGTGCATGGTTACCTGATGCTCATAGCCGCCGCTTCGTCCCGCAATTTCCGGCTTCCTCGCGGGATTGCCGTGGACCAGAACGTTGCGCGAGATGTCACACGCGAATGCGATGAACGCGAGCACGGGTAACACCTTCCACATAGTTACAAGGCGATCAGGAACCTCAATGCCTGGTCCTCGCGACACCGTGATCCCTTTTCGCCGATACACTTTATCTCGTTACTCTTCGCGAAGAAATGCACGTAAATCACCGCGGCACACAGAGTAATAAAGATTACGTTCTTCCGGTTACACCAGCTTAAGATCCCTTCAAAAACCATACAGACGAACGTGCACTATCCCGTGCACTCAATCCCCAATCGAATCGATCCCAGTCGAATCAATATAGAGATTTGCGAAGTCACACAAAAATAGTCGGGAACGATCTTATGATTAACTCTCTTCGTAATTATCTTCACGATGCACTAAGACAATAATTAGTTCGTTGGGTTGTCAATTTGTACCAATGTTTCTAATCCATTGTGTAACACTTGTATTTGCCAAAAATATTTGTTTATGAAACACTCCGAATTCTGGAAATCGTCTCGCAATTTTTCTCTTTGCACCTCTCTGTCCACCTTCTCGCGTTAATTTTCCTTTTATTCCTGTATCAGGGGAGTCTCTTGATCACCGCGCAGAAAACTCGTGATCTACGAACGTGTTCTCCATTTTCGATCTCGTGAAAGAGAACCACTCGTGTGTCTCGCTCGTGCGACTGGGTATAAAACTTTTCGCGAGCTCAGACCGCTCGTCTGCGTTCTCGGCAAATCGCCCCTGCGAACTGACGTCGCTTTTCTCCGCGCGCACTCCTAAGTAAGCCGGTGAAACTCGAGAGGAGTAAAAGAGTCTTCCGCCGCGAGTCTCCTCTACTGCTGGCTACTCGCGATCACCCGCTCTCGACGGGATCTTCCCCGGAGCCGAACCGCAGCTTGGCGAGATGAATCCCGGTAATCACTACACGCGGACCGCGAACGATTCGATCGGCTAACATCCGCGATTGATGAAGAAGCACCAGCCACTCACTATTCTAAATTGGGAAGCGTGTTATTTTGCGTCGAGCGTCGCAAAAAAGGAAAAAATTGATGACGGAGAAAGTCCATTCCATATTGCAGAGAATATATTCAGCAAAATATCAGATGATCGGGCATTAAAATGGAATATTATAAGCATTATTTCGAAGGTTACATTTTTTTTGAATATGCAAACTCGGTACCGAAACACCTGAACATTCAATACGTGTCTTATAGCAATTACGTATCTTATAACAATTGTGTGAAGAGGAAAACGCTATCGTTAAAATTATAACATAAGAATATCCCTTACTTCAAAAGTAATTATTAAAAAGATTCCCGGGAAAGAAGAGATTTTCTTCCAATTTAACAGAAAATTATTGACTAATCAAATATCGGTAAAAAATGTATTCTTGATACGATCAAACTTACATTTGTTATTTTTTGTTTCACAACCCTTAAAAAATTTGTAAGTTGTTGACTATTTTGACAATTTTTTATGAAGTTAACTTCGTTAATTTTTTATGATTGATAGTTTATTTAACTCATTCGTGATAATAACTCGAAAAATCACGTTTTTATCAATTTTGACGTAAGGAAGCGATATCTATACACGATTAAATAATCGTTATATATAAAGGAACGTAATATCGCGTAATGTAGTCATTAAGAATCGATAGGCTGTTAATTTATTTGCTAATATCTTCGTATTATTCATTTTACTTATCGCAATTGACTCTTTCGAATCCGCGACTGCATCCAGAGACCGCATGGAAAAGAAGCAGGAAGTCGTTAAGTACTCGAAGCGAAAACCTTGTTAACGCATATGCCACGTGCGTATATCTGTCACCATGAACCTTCAATTGCAATAAAACTCGCAAGATTTCATGTGACTATTCGCTTACATCTCTGCATACCTGGGCGTGTAGCAATAAACTATATGAACTGCGGGTAATAATTTTACAAGATAATATGCACGCGTTACATTTGTTTTTTAAATTAAATCTCTACATAGAATTTGTAGAAAATATTAAATATAAGCTTGAAATATTTCCTGCGCGAATGGAGAAGCAGGGCAAATCGTGTCGCGTTTTACCGGCGTGTATTTAATGCATGTTGCGGCATTACAAATTACGATCAGCAAATGTGAGCATAAAGTAGAGAAGTGTGTCGATCGTTTGCAACAATAGACTACGCAAACTATCCTTTTACGCGTAATTTACGTAAACAATACTTATAATAGCATGAGATTTCTCCTCCTTTCTCCTTTTTTAAAATGATATATTTTGCCAAATGAAATTTGGAGCGTAATTTATAATAATTTCCTGAGAATTATGATATTATTTTGCTTCTAACAAAGCTTTGAAGCTTTGTTAGATTAATATTCAAGAATAACATATTTAATAATTTGTTATTTTAAATTTGTGAAAGTACAAAGACGAAAAAATACAGTAGACTGAATAATAGAATTAAATATAAATAGAAAGAAAGATGATAAATGTCACCAACACTGAATTCTGCCAATATTAATATTATTCAGTCTACTGTATTTTTTCGTCTTTGTACTTTCACAAATTTAAAATAACAAATTATTAAAGCAATAAACAACTTCTTTCTCATAGTTCTTAGGTTACTGTTACGCGGGAAAAATTTAGTTAGTTAGAATTTAGTTAGCGACCAACAACGAAATCTCTTGTTTCCCGAAAGTTCTCGCGTGAGAATCCGTCATTTCTCGCAAAAAGTTTGTATCAATTATCGTATTACGCAGCTCGTTATAACAGGCGGATAGTTTGCGGTTAAACACGTAACGCGATCGAATAAAATTAATGAGGGTTCCCTCGTGGATGAGAGCGACGATCGCTAATGAACTACGATGAAGCGACGATGTAACGACAATGACGAGGACAAGGATAATGACGATGCGGTTCTTTCGTAATTCGTTGGAGTGCAGATAGACATCAAAGCTGATTCCATTGTTTTAGGTTTGCCTTAGACGATTCATAAGAGATGAATGAGATACAATCTTTGACATAAAATATTATAATTAGTAAATATGCAATAGTTTAATAAATTAATCTTGCATCGGCACTGAAATTTTTACCTTTTATCTGGGTTTTGGAATTTCAGTACAGATTTTTATGTTGTTCTGTATAAAGCTGTATAAAAATCTTAAAGAATTCTTACATTCTTGTGAAAGCTTCAACGAGTTTTTATTATCATAGATTGTATTTTATTTATTTTTTATAAATTTAAAGAAAGTGGAACTAATTATATGGAAAATTGGGTCCTAGTGAAACGAATTACTTTTCAGTTTCTGAGATATTCACCTGGGGCGATTAAAATGCCCCACCCTATATAATGTAGCTTACAACGTAGAGAACAATGGATAATTTTATAGATAATTTTTGAGCCATGGTGTATCAAAGTAAAACTTGTGCTCTCAGCGCACCTTTGATAGCGCAGAAACTATCCTATGCACCTTGTGTCTATATCTTTTGTTCCATGCATTACATTGAGAGAAATGTTTGATCGTTTTAATCAAGTTTTCATTTTTAAATTAAAAAATAAGAAAGTTTTTGTAAATCACATATATTGTACTAAATATTTCTCTCAGTGTATTATAAGTTACATTATATGTGAAAACTAATTCATTTCACTATGACCCAATTTTCTATATAATTAGTGCGGAGTTCTTTATCTATCAGAATTTACAACCAAAAAATCAATTGTGTCTTTAAAATCCAATGTTACCAGTGGATGATTAAGCCTTAAATTTGTACAGGAAAGATGGTGCTTTTCATTTTAAGTGTAAACTTAGGACTTGATGTTTGGGAAATAAGCAACAGTTACAAACTGTTTGATATATGGGCTTCATTAATAGTACATCGGTGATGGATGCACATTCGAGCGCACGTGGGAAGGTCGCACGATGAATCGGAGATCGTGAGATCTTCTCTATTTACGCGAGCACACTTTCTACGCGATAAGCGAGCATGCCGCGGCGAAGGGACTGACCAACCAGTTTCAGACACACTGAAAATAATAGCGATCGCCTTAGTTTACAGTGCGTAATGAAATCCCGTGTTCTCGTGACCCACAAGGATGATAGGTACTTGCCGCACGAACACCGGTAATACTTTCCAATCTAACGTGTCGATGTAAGAAAATATAACACACCGGATGATGCCTATTTTTTTCTCTTTCATTAAGTTATCACTCACTTTGCGTCCATGTCCAAACTCTGCTCTGAATTTTTCATTCAAATTCCGTTGATCATCTAGAGTTTATCTAAAGAAGCTTTTATGAGATACAGGAGGTAAAGAATATTAATTTCTAGATAGAAAACTTCTGTACTTTTTAGTTAGACATCCAGTTTCCAATAATCTAGTTTATATTCCGAAGTTTTTTTTACATTGATACGTAAAGTGAATGCCACTGTGAGCACTATACGTAATCACATATTGAACCTATATTAATTAATGACTACTGCAAAACGCTGTGTTGGTAGTTCAAGATTTCTAACACGGGAATCCTGTCCTGCAATGTTTCTGTCCCGGTTAACTATATTACACATCATTAAAGATTTTGCAGTGTGTATTATGATGAAATATAATATATTCATGCGCTCGTCAATTACTCATTATGAGAACTTAAGTAACCTTTGGACAGTCTTTTCTATGTGCACAGATGTGTATATTAATATTTACAGCAATGATGTAGTTATTATACCTCACTGCACTGGAAAAATACTAAATTTTAATAAATATTTGTTTGAATAGTAAATATATTTACTAAATATAAACATATATAGGTATATTTAATACAAAAAAGCCATTAATTTGATTAATTTTTTTATTGAGTTTAAATATTTATTTATTATAAGTAAACGTTTACTTAGTATATTCAAAGAAATTTGTATCAAGATTTAGTAAATTTTTTTTCTGTATAGTTCATCTATATATAGATTCACTATATAGATATCAACCTTTTAGCAATCAATTTAAATTAATTAACAATACGTCATCACAAGTACAAATATATTCTTATAAAAGATCTTTTACAAGAATTCTATTTATATTTGAAGGGAAAAAACTTTATTTATTTAGTGCAAAAAAGATTAAATCAGCAAACGTCAGAAAAGTTGCGCGTGATATGGATCACATTTATTTTAGCGGTGTGTTATTGTTAATGATACAATTATAGCGTCACGTTGGTGAACGCTGTCGCGCGAACCCCGCAAAAGATACGCGTGATCGCTTTCACAGCATGCAACACGTATGTACGCATACGCGTACATGTAAATGCGGACGCGAAGCGATTGGAAGCGATGTCGAGGAAACTGCGACGGAGCAGGCCTTTCCTTGAGCGAGAACATTGGAGAACGCGCGCTTCGCTACTCTCAACGATATCTCTCGTTTCGTGTATCTCAGCTCGCGAGAGCCAAGGAACTCGTAAAGAATCGCGTTACTTCGCGCACTTTCACACGGACTTTCATGACAAATCTGGTCTTCCTAGTACATCTTGATTAACACCTCATTGGTGTTCGAAACGTTCATCACAGCTCGCGTTTACTGAGAGAAAAATGTACAAAATTTTAATAAATAATTATTTGAATAGTACTAATATAACATTTATTTACGGAAAATAAATATTTGCTAAATAAAAAATATAATAGTTAAGTTGATGATTCTTGTACCAAATAAATGTATGTTTACATTTAGTAAATATTCAACTGGCACTATTCAAACAAATATTTATTAAAATTTGGTATATTTTTCTCTTATTGGTAATAATGGGCGTTTCCCAGCAAGAGACACGAATAAAAGTGTAACACAGTGAATCATTTCATCTTTGTTTAATGATAAACAACATGGATATAATAGAGATTCTCAAGTAAGAGATTGGATATACGTTTGGTTGGTTATATTCTTCATGGCCTGAAATTAATTATGCACAAGATAAAATGAGATATCCACACATCTCATTCTATCTTATGGATCTATCTTATTTTATCTTAAGCAGGTGATAAAGCAGATTCTGAAAAATATGGTGGACCAATCAGAAGTTGTCTAAACGGCGTCTAATTTCTTACTTGAGAATCTCTAGGATATAATGATTCACTGTGTCGTCTATCTCTTGCGGGAAAACACCTAATTTGTGCGTGAGAGTTCTAGAAGCGAAAGCGTTCTGTGTACTGAGAAAAATTTCTGGTTGAAAATGAACGAACCGGATTCTGATCATATCAATTACAATTCTGATTATCTCAATTAGAATTATATTATAGATTCAACGAGAAAATCATAGTTCGTCCATTTTCAAGACCAGAATTCCAATTAATGCAACTGTACTCTTTTTCCAATGTATACAAGTTTTTGCATTGTTATAATTTCGCATAGAAAAATATGGTATAGGTAGAACGAGACTTCATACCAAACTACTACTTTTTATTGCAACACTGAATTATGGAGCGTATCAAAAACGAAATCTCATAGTTTCATCAAATTCTTTTTCGAAAATCATTTTCAGCGCTCGCATTAACGCACGAGCGCGCGTGCTATTGTTGCTTTTAACGCGCGAGTAATCCCGTGCAGTTTCATGTTGCATGTAAGACACGCTTCGTGCGACTCCCAGAAGTTACACGAAATTAAACTCAAATACTACAAATACAGCAAACTGTCAACAGACCGTGAAATTTTATTCTGTTTATCGTGAGGGACGAATCGGCATTGAGACATTGCGGTGAAAATGCCTGATTTTATATTTATTATTACGATGAGAACTTTATTTATTAAAATTTCATTTTTATTATGATTACGACACGATTGTTCTGTCTATTGATTATTCATTTACAATTTTTTCGCGCACCGCGTAATAGATTATACAGTGGTTCGCCAAGTAGTGACGTATCATTTTGCGGTATTGCATAGAGAAACTACTAGCGAACCTGTTCTTTCGAGCCTATCTCTCTATCGAATCTAAATCTTTCGCATTGCAGAGTCGTTGACTTTTTTGCGAATCAATCTCGCTGGCCTCTAATGCTAGATAATCTTTATTTTCAAGATAACGGTCAAAACAAACGGCGTGAAACTGTACAAATTGAATTCCATTCTGCATTGAAGAACTTATTTCCATTTACACCAAGATTTAAAAAAAAATGTGTGAGTCTAATTAAAAAATAAGAATTACCTACATTACGATTTTTGTAACGTATACGTAATTATAAAGTCTTTTATAACACTAGTTTACATGGTATTGTGCAAGATCATATGAATACTATTTTTAAGACAATTCTCGATGCTGTTTCTCAAAGACAGTTTTTCCTGAAATATACATATATAGTGAAATTTTATTCAAATTAAAAAAAAACAAATCGGAAGTATTGAGCATTTGATGTTTATTTTTATATATCTTTAAATCATTTTTACGCATTAGAGCTCAACAATAGTTGCCTGAAAACAATATTTTCATCCCAAAACCTCTGATAATGTTTCTCAATTATCATAAAATCCTGGTGGAAACGCTTTGTTTATCACTTGTTGCATTCAAATTATTTGCATAGAAATCTTATTTTAAAAATGGTATATTCTATTTCTAAAAATTGACATGCTATATATTCGAAAAATTTTACCTAATGGAATTTTTCTGATAACAGATTCGCGTGCGAACTCGGCGTCCCAAAATACGTTAAAAAAGTTGTTTCTTTTTCTTGCATTAAAAAAAATATTCTCATTAAATCAACAAAAGACTGCACACAATAAGAATGACGTTTTTATAATAGTAAACAGAATAGTAGTTGTGATAACCAGAAATTTCGTTCGGTTTCTCCAAAATACCATTCTCGTTCGGTCCTTTTATTGATTTAATCAGAACATTTTTCTCAATGCTCTATTATAATTTTTCGTAGGATAGTTTCAATTGTTATTTTTTAATATGGACTCACACACAAGACAACTTGGAAATGAGCTTTCCGAATTTCTTCCGAATTCAAAATCGTATAAAATGTTGCATTTGATAGCAAGAGTAATTTGTAGGAGTAATCCGTATCCTCGATGGACAATGAACATTCAAGAGTCATTAGCTTGACACGGTTTACTAGAATTAATTTATTCCATACGAGGAAGAGCTCGATCTTGCAACCGGCACAGTGGTTGATGGTGCGCGTATAGACTTTATTATACGCACAGATGATAACATCCCAGTTGAACGAGAGTAACACGCGATCATCTCCCACGTAGAGGATGTGCGACGGCTATGATGAGAAGCGCACGTTTCTCCAGAGAGAGAAAGAGAGAGAAAGAGAGAGAAAGTCCGCTTTGCCGGGCGGATGCGACATAGCTGCGGCAATGAATCCTCTCATATGTTCATTTCCAAAATTCTGGGTCAAGTTCTTGTTTGTCCGAAAAGCAGCTGCTTGCTCGCGACGAGTTAATAATGTTCTTCCTCAATTTCGCCCCGAAGGCGAAAGCGCTTCACGCTTCGGAGATTGACGCGGGTACGTACGCATTCGTCGTAACGGTGACTTTTGATAGCCGACGGATTTCACCTCGAGTCGGAAATCCAAGCAGTTGAATTATTTTTATTAGTGAAAGATCTGGGACTTAGAAACTAAGGAATCTTAGTAGGGACGTGGCTATAATAGAGATGTCGGTAATAACATTGAATGAATTTTTCAGCTGGGCAGTTTCCACGGTGATGACGAGGCAGAACCTGGTTCCAAGTCCCGATGGTTCACGCATGATCCACGCTTTAATCCCGATGTGGGATATGTGCAATCACGAGAACGGAAGGGTAAGTCATGGAGATAATGAGCCCGGCGTGGATGAGCAATGCGTTTTCTGTCATTATTATAGATTACGACGGACTTCAACGCGACTTCGGATCGTTGCGAATGCTACGCGTTGAGGGACTTCAAGAAAGGAGAACAGGTGTTCATAAGTTACGGCTCGAGAACAAACTCCGATTTCTTCGTGCACTCGGGCTTCGTCTGCATGGATAACGAACAAGTATGCACATTTATTTATTAAAAATTTATATATTTATGTAATAAAAACAACATTAGTCTGTTGCTAAAGAGTAATATTGGAATAACAAATTGTGAAGGTAATTGATGTTTAAAAATATTTTTGCCAGCAAGAGAAATCAGCGTCGATTTTATCAAAGAATTTATAGCGAAGAGCGAATTTCACAATGCGAATCTCTACATTACTTACAAAAGTACATTATTTACAAAAGCATATCGCAATATGGTATGTTACAGGATGGCTTTAAACTTCGTCTTGGTATTAGTAAAGCGGATTCTCTTCAGAAAGAACGAATAGAACTGTTGAGCAAACTGGATTTGCCGTCAGTAGGAGAATTTTTACTGAAACCTGGTACGGAGCCGATCTCCGATACGCTATTAGCTTTCTTGCGAGTGTTCAGTATGCGAAAAGCTGAGCTCACACATTGGTTACGCTCGGACAAGGTCTTCGACCTGAAGCATGTGGACTGTGCGTTGGAGACAGTCGTTGAGGAGAATGTCAGAAAATTTTTGCTGACCAGGCTGCAGCTTTTAATCGCTAATTATCCTACAACATTGAAGGTGAAAGTGAAATCTGATGTTGCGCCGTCTGCCTTTACTCTGCCTTCTCTGTCGATCGCACACGATTAATCAACACGAATATTTTTGTTTTTTTTTCCATAGGAGGATCTAGAGTTACTGGAGACCACGTTGCCGCAAATGAAAAAAATGGCAGTTCAATTGAGGGTCACGGAAAAGAGAATTCTTTCGGGTGCACTCGAATACGTAGAGCAATGGATAAAGGCTTAAAACGATCGGCTGTGGTTTGGCGAAGGTGTCGAACACATATATTTACAGTTAAAAGCATCTCGAGAAAAATCAACTTTATTTTTACAATATTTCCGAACGATTTCAAATATAAAAGTAAAATATATAAAGATATATATATATGTATAATATATATAAAAGTGGACGAATTATATGTAATAAAGCGTATATTTATCGTCTGTTAAATATGCAAACTCTTCATTTGGTCGACGTGTGTGCGCGTACTAATTATAAGAAAAAAATGTATTGTAAAATATATTGAGAATTATATGAATGATCGATTATATATGTATGTCTATGTGATATATAATGTAATTGTATAATAATTGTGTGCTCAGCAAATATCTTAATTTTTGTTTTCGTAAAATGAAGATTTTCAATAAGCTTCTTCATATTTGTTCTTTCTAAAATTGCGTATCGAATCAAATATGCCGGTCAATAGAGAGAATGAGAGATCGAATGATTCTAATATATGACTACGAGAATTAATATTCTACTTGCTCTGCTTGATATATAACATTTTAAAAAAAGATATTCATACAAAAGAGAATATTGTTAATGAACATTTATTTTTCAGAACGAATACATAACAGCTAAAGGTCTTGATATGAAACTATAATAGCGTAGGCCTATGACATTAGACTTACATACGCCGTAAAACATTTCCCGACGCACGAGTGAATTTGAACGACCCGCGTAAATACAACCCTGCGAGGTGTTTCCGAGTGTTTATGCATTATAAATCGTGTTTAACTTCGTGATCTCGTTACTGTATAAATCGTTGCAAGACGATAATAGTATCGCGCGTCTCACGCGTTGATTAAATTTTTAGGAAATGCCAGATTTCGCAAAACGAAATTAATTAAAATTAACGAAGCCAATTGTAGCGAGATGCTACGATCAGGCTACAGCAGGACTGATAGCTCGGAATATCGCTTTTTTAAATATATTTCAATATAGAAATAATTAAAAGAATGTTACATAAACATACATCATTTGACAAGTACGTAATATATGCGACGAGATTTTAAACCTATAATGTGATCGAGTATGTATACAAGCTGTAAGAAAATTCATTGCATCTGCGATGCAATTTTTTGAACGAATAATTCGCATAAAGTAAACGCAAAGTGTGATAGCGGAATGTATTTACAAATTTAATTTGTATTGACATGCTCGGAAAATTCAGGAACACAAAGCAGAAAGTAAAAGATTATAGACGAAATTTCGATCTTATAAAAATAAAATATATAATATACATATAATTAATAAAAACGAAAAAGTATATAACGTTAATGTATAACGTTAATAAATTATTTTTAAAATTAAATTTATCATAATTGCATTATGTACATCAAATAATCAATTTAATAAAAAAAAAATTATATTTAAAATCTCAAATGTTTGACAGTAGAACATGGAAAAATTCTTGCAGAATTTTCAGGATTCAAACTTTATTCTCATTTGCGGAACAAATCTATCAATAATAACTACGCATAATATATAAATCTACATACATAGTAATCATAAATTCTACAAAATGTTTCTTCAACATGTTAACAAACACAGTGAATGCAAAGTAAATTTATAAAATCGGTTAAGCACCACAATTGTCACAGCTTCTTCAAAGCTACTTTTGCAAAATGAATCAGGATCACAATTAGAGTTATCAACAATTGTTTGAATGTGTTCCTAAATTTTCTGACGAGCGTATAGAGAATTCAATTACACTACTCCGCATTGATGCACATTAAAAACTGTACGCGAAATTATCTAAGTGCAAAGCTAATTTGACTGACGAAATATAACATATATTCTACTATAATATATATTTGATATTTCTCATCGATTAATATTAACATTAGTTTTTATTAATATTAATATTATTAGTTTTTAATTAAATAATTTTAAGTATGTTTTTATAGTATATCAGTGCGAAGTAGCTCAAGTCGAATTTGCCACTAAGTTCATCAGAAAGTACCTGCTATTTCAATCATTTCACAACTATCCGTTCTGTATCTATTTTCTCCTTATCTATTTTCGGATCGCTAATATATGTGTTTAACTATCATCGATATATTTTACTTAACAGATAAGACGGAAGAATGTGTAACATGTTCTATGTAAAATTAATGTTCTGTGGTATAAATTGATATCAAAATCCTGAAGCAAACGATACATTTTTAAAAATAGCGCATGAGTTACAACTATAAACGGCACTTACAATTGTATCAGTTTTATTTCGTAGTCCGACTTGAGTATCATTATTACGAGAATGTTCGAAATGTTTGATAAAAGCTGACGACCATTCACAGGTAAAGTTTGTTGCTTTTATTTTCACGATTCAAACTCAAGTAATATTTTATCTTTATGACGGATCGTAGAGATCGGTTTCCTGTTGCAAAGAATCGATCTCATTATCATAGTAGCTGTCGGAATCTTTAAAATCAGGAACTACAACAATATCGATAGCGTCCCCCTTCAGTTCGTAAACGTCGTCTTCCATCTCCTCTTCCACTTTTACATTCCCCACGTTGTGGTCCTCGGTGAGATGCGTAAGAAGAGCGGGTAAGGCGTAGAATATTTTGTCACATAAATTGCATTGAAACGTCTTACCGTCGACCGCGCGTAAACAATGCATGTAATCTTTCATGGGCTGATAAACTTTTCTGTGTAGGGCCATATGCTTCTCATGGTCCATGGAAAGAATAAATTCGTAAGAACAGATAGGGCACTTCAGGTTGTGCTTTGTCCACATTGTGTGTATCTTCAGTCGGTGGAGACTCTCGTAGACTTCGCCGCAAATGGGACACTTGAGGCATATGTGATTTTCCAGGGTCTCTGTGTTCTCGTACATACCGCTACATTCGTTGCACTGATACGATTTTTGTTTCTTACAGGTATGCTTGGACCAGTGTTTTTCCAGCTGAGCCAAAAGGTCGAATACCAATTCGCAAACCGTACAGACGAACATTCCATGATGATCACGTTTCAGACTGCATTCCAAGAAGCTGATTGAGCACTGATAGTGCTTTTCATAGTTGTCCTTGCGCAACAAGCTCTCGTTGCAGGACTCGCATTGATTTTGATGCTTGGTCAAGTGAGCAAATAACATTCCGGGCTCTGCGTTCGAATAATTACAAAAATTACACATGTAACTCTCCGCCGTCATATGCAAGTGCGAGAGTAAATGCCTCTGATACGTATTTGGACTGAAGAACGTCGCGCCACATGCTGGATTTAACTTCTTTGTCCACTTCTTGTCTCTTTTCATCTTTTCCAAGTTGTCATACGTGATACATTCGATTTTAGGAATACGTTCGTGCTCCTCGGAGGAAGTGCTTTGGCTGGTTTCGTCCTGTGTCGCTTGATCATTGTTGGCTACGTATTTCCGCAAGTATACCATCTTGTTGTAGCTATGCTTCCACCTGCCGTTCTTTTGATTCTTGGAGATTTTATGCATACTCTGTTCAAGCAACTCCTCCATCCTCACTTCTGCATCCTCGAGAGCCTCCAGGGGAGGCATTAGAATGTAATTGTCCTCGTTGGACACAGATGGTTCGATCTTGCAGGACACCTCAGAGGGATCCTTTGTAAGATACAACAAATCTAGCGGTGTCTCTTCTTCCTGAGATTCCACCTTGTGCGGAACATCCTCCACGCTGCTCCGTAGTTTTCGTCCACTACTACTGGCATGCTTACTCTTCCTGTGGCCTTTGCTCTTCTTCTCCTCCGTGATCTTCCTCGTTTTTTTGAGCACGTTCTCGCTCTCGATCTCGTCTAGCTTCAGCATCCTGTCAGTCTTCAAGTCACGTCGCCTCATCGACGTTGTATTACACGATCAATGGGACGGGGTACGCGTGTTTACAATTGTCAGACGTCGTGACATAACCTGACACCTGTGTCCTATTAACAGACGGATATAAGAAAACGTGCGAAAATCTCGCTGATCTTACGAATACCTGGTTCATGTACTCACGTATCGCGATCAGTCGCATAGTCGACGGCAGCCCTGGTTGTGCTTCACGACGCGCTGTCACATTGCACCCCCGAGCATTGATTTTTCCGGGATCCGGATTTCTCCGGACGCATGGCCGTCCGCTGTCCTAGGGCGGGGAAGTCGTATAGAAACACGGCGTGCCGACCCTCGTCTTGTAGCTCGTTCAGGAAAACACGTATACGGGAAATCCTGGTGTTTCTTTCCCCTGATAACGCTGGATCAGCTGTTCTACGAAACGGATGCGAGAGAGAGAGACCGAACGATCTCGTTCGCCATGCCGTAGCGTCGCTTACCGTCCTCGCGTTCTGCTTTCAAGAGTAGAAAGGGCTCGATAACGGATAACGGGCCGAGGTAGCTCGCGCCGCGAATCGATGAGAAAGAAAGGAAGGAAGAAAGAAAGAAAGGAAGAATATGCTCGATGTGATCTCTTTGCCTTCTCCTCCCCTCGGACAACACACCCAGGCCGATAGTGCCCGGATATTCGCCTATTTTGTTTTAAACGAACTTCCTGTTTGTTGGGAAAAGAGGAGGCAGAGAGATTGTGTGACTTCTTCCTATTTGCACAGATTCTTTTTAATGCTTATTCTCGTTACTTGTAGATTATAAGATAAAATCACATTACTTTTTTTGGAAGTATTATATATAGAAGTTAAAAAACGAAGTTCGATGTCTAGTGTGAAAATATTTCTCTCTCTCTCTCTCTCTCTCTCTCTCTCTCGTTCTCTCTCCTCCCCTCCTTTGCTCTCTCTCCTCCCTTCCTTTGCTCTTTCTTTTTCTTTCTCTTCTCTTTTTCTTTTTCTCTCCCTTTCTCTCTCTTCTTTCGCCATATATACAGTGTCTTTCAAATATTTATATTGTAGAGCTGTTAATACTTGATATTACATTGCAAATTTTCAAATAGAACAAAAATTCAAAATGATATTAAAATGACATCAAAACGACGTCAAAATAGCATCAAAATGAATATTAAAAATTTTTTCAATCCATCATGATTTATTTTAACGTCATTTTGACTATCATCGTGATCTTACCCAAGTAGAATACAGAGTCATAACTAATAATATTATATATATATATATATATAACGTCATCATGATGTCATTTGATATAATGATGACTTAAAAATGAAATTATAAGTGACAAATAAGGTCACGATGATGTCCATATTATATACGATTTCTGTGTTCTACTTAATTCAATGGGTTCATATAATAATGCGACACGCTGCTCATTATAATATTAATATGTATGGTTCTGAAGCTACAGCCACCTATTTTATAATCGCGTTATAAAAAAGTTACCTAGACGAACGATTATTTTACTCGTTTTAATCCATATCTGTGCTATATTTTATCGTAACTATAGAGGCATCGCACGGTTTGTTTCTTGCGGACAATGGAAACGCGAGTAAAGAAAAAAGGAAAAAAAAAGAACTGCGACAAAAATTATGAAAAGGAAAAAAGATGCGAAAAGTATTTAATCTTTCAAACTTTTAGCTTTCTCGAGACTCTTCAAAAACGTTGAGTTATAATATTTCTATTATAGACTTGTGCATTTCGAACGCATTCACGTCACGGCTTTGCGTGAAGCGTAAGAAACCCCCGCTATTGTCATTATATACCCTCCACAAAGCCCTCGATGTATAATTCCAAGAGAATCCTAAAGAGTTTATAATCACAAGATACTTGAATTAGAGAGAATCCTTTCTCTTTTATTCTACTAAAACTTCCCTTAAAATTATATACATAAACGGACAGTCGATCTTGTCCGTTGATTCTATTCTACTGTATATACAACATTATAATTTCAACGACCCTCCGCCCTCTGTCTGCTCGAGTCAGTTCTTGTTAATCTTTCTCTTTTTGTGATCATGTCCATGGACGAGATGATCAGCATGGGCATCGTGGTAGTCGTAACCATGGCCATAACCGTGCTCCAGCACATGACCAATCCCATGATGACCATGGGCGAGGGGAGCGATGCCGTGGATGCCGTGGTCCAAGTGCACGGCGACCGGCGACGGGTGGATGTGAAGATGATCGGGTGCGTAGCCGTGCGCATAGATGGCACCAGGATGATCGCTGGACGGGATCAGCGGAAGCAACGGGGGCGGTAACGGCTGCAGCGGAAGTGACGGGGGTGGTAACGGATGCAGCGGAAGCGATGGGGGTGGTAACGACTGTACCGGAACCGGAACCGGCACCGGAACCGGCACCGGAACTGGCACGGGTACCGGATGCTTTATTGGGACTGGATACAGCTGCTTCACTGGAATTGGCACTGGACGCTCCACGGGAATCGGCACCGCCTGAGAATTTCCCGATAGAAATTAATAGAAATAAAAAGAAGAAAAAATATGAAGAATAATGCTCGTATTCATAGTCAGGCCTTATATTTAAGGCTTCTTTAAATTTATCTTCAGATGCTCTACCAATTGGCTACTGAGCGTCTAAAAATAAAATATAAATTGGCTTTAACTATAAATTGACTTTATGTTCAGAATATTAGCTTAAAATGTTTGCTTATCGATATAATTTAATATTAAGGAATTTCCACGATTTTTTTACATTTTTTTCCGCAAAATTACTACAAAAGGAAAGATTTTGTTAACAGACTTTGTTAACAGACTTCCCAAGTAGCACAGCAGCGCTCGCAAAGCGCTAAAAAAGCGATTGTATGCGCTTTTTTTTAGCGCTTTGGAAGCACTATGTGCTACTTGGGTTCGCGTGATGTTGAAAGAAAGTAAAATTGATGAGACGTTACCTGAGGTACCGGGACAGGAATCGGGACTGGTTTATGAACAATCTTCTCGATCGGTAGTGGCACATGATACGGTTTTTCTATGATTATCGGCTCCGGAACTGGCACCGGCTTCTCCAGCACCACGTGCCTCGTTAAGTACACTGGTACAGTTTTCACAATTCCGGGTGTTAAGGCAATGCCGTTGCTACCATAAGTCGCAGCTGTCAGTCGCAATCTATCGGTCGATATTTGTGAAGATAACGGTTAACATCATTATCATTTTAGATATCCTGATTTTTAGAAAGTATATTATGATTTTTTGAAGTTTATTATTTAAAATAAAGGAGTATAATTTGTAAGGAAAAAAATGATCTTTCGAAAAATATTTATTATTGCTGTATGATATTTATATAATTTCTCGTTTGACTAATATTTTATGTTACTTATTTTACAATGATAAAACTTAACGCCAAAATTATATGTAATTTAGAAATTTACTTTAAATTTTCTAAATTATATAAATCTTATTTATTATTTACTTTTAATATAGATACATTATTTTATGCTATTTAATTAGAATTATTTTAGAATATTAAAACTTAACACGAAATGTTTATATTTTTTATACAATTTAGAGAGATCTACTCTAAATTATTCTAAATTATATTTATATATAATATAAATCTTGTTTATTATTTTTTATTTTTAATAAGTGTATTATTTTTACCCTGCATGTAGGTTGACCTCGGGAAGTTTGGGTCCTTTCCAAGGATTACGCTCGATTGACCATGGTTGTCCATAAGAACTCGAGAGACCGATCCATCCGTCATTACCGATGATACCTCGTTTTTGCTGTTTTGTGCTCGGCACCGATGCGAATGCACAGGTGCATAATAATGTCAGGAACAGCTAAAATATAGCACTAACGTAAGGAAATTCAAATTTTGATAAATTAATGTCTTATAAAACTTTCGATTATTCAATGCGTTGGCGTTGTTTAAATTAGTAGGAAAATTGGAAGAATTTAATAAAGCACTTGAAAGTTTTAATTTTAGAAAAATTAAATATAATTGATTTAGAACCATAGATAATTTATAATTTTATATTCACACTTTAATTTTGATTTACATAACTTAAATGAGTAAGTGCAGCTACTTACAAAGATCTTCGACATTGCGCTCTAGTCGTGGACAAACTGTTCATAAAATCGCAACAACAGAAGCCTTTTATATTTACGAATCGTACCAATGACGACTTAACAGGTCCAAATCAAGGAATAGATCAAGTTCCCATTTACGATCAAATCGGAAACTTACTCTTCTTGATCGATACCCCAAGCTTCCGGTGATGAAAGTTGTCTGTGATCGATTTAATTTGCAGCGACATTTCAAAATGACATCAAACACATATAAAGCCTCGTAGCTAAAATGGAACAAGCTAATAAACGCATCACATACCATAATAAATACTAATTTATATTAAGGGGTTATACTACCCAGACGCACTGAAAAATGAACGTTTTTTTGGGAATTTTTTTCTTGGAAACTATTCAATGGATCATGGAAAATGAAATTTGAGGCTTTATTATACATGTTTTGAGGTATAAAAAAAATTTTTATTATAACTTTTGATACAAAATGGCGTCTTGGCAAGTGGTAAACGGAACATGTGTTTTTTCCGAGGAGCGAATCTGCGTACATCATAACATTCTCCGAACAGCACCTAGAGCAAAAAAAAAATTTGTCGTTAATCTACATCAGTTTTGCTAGGGAAGTACACACGCTTTTTAAGATTGATAAATAATTAAAATTGTTATTAACAATTTAAAGTCTATTTTTAGCGAAAAAATGAAAAAAAAAGTTCAAACTGACGCCAATTTGCAAATTTTCGATAAAAATGTATAATCGTGGGTACTTCCCTAGCAAAACTGATGTAGATTAACGACAAATTT